TGTTGAATTTTAGCATAAACCCATATAGTCTCATACTTGGGGTGTAGCTGACAAATTATTGCTTTGTAAAATGAATTACGTGAATCACGGAAGCTTTAAACTTTTCTTTTTATAGCCCTACCTGAACCCATCCTTCCATCCATCCAAAAAATTTACCCAGTAAGTGTTCCTTATAAATTATTACAATACATGTTATGACAAGTATATGTGGAACTATTATGTGCAGTATTAACGTGAATATAAAAGTAGTATTAATTACCTTCTAAATATATGATAACATTTTCTACATAGACTGAGGCATTGGCCACTAGAATGCAAAAATGTTTCATACAATTTTTCAGAAGACTCTGCTATTTTATTTGGTTATTGGCAGACAATCTTGTCATTCATGTTAATGGTGGAACTTTTTGTGTGATGCTCATGATTATCACTAATGGGAATTAAATATACTTAGTTGGTGAAGGCCCATTTGGACTCATACCAGTTTTTTTCATGCTACCAGTTTTCTCTTGCTACTTTTTTTATGTTTAGAACATAACTTTAGTTAGTAACTCAGAAGTTTTATAGCCTAACTAACATATGTATAATTTGAAATCGGGAAAAAATTAAGATGATGAACAATTGGGTAATCTTTTTATCTTTCATTTGATCTTACCAAGTAATATTCTAAGAGGTAACATTAGTACACTGTCCTTGTGTGTACACTATTAAGAATCCTGGTGAAGTTAATTGGAAACACTCAAGAAATGAAGTGTGCCTACTAGAAAAAGTTTAGTATGTACTCAGTTTGAGTTTAGAGAAACCTAGGTAATGTACTTATTCATAATCTATATGAGTATTTTTGTTTCTTTTCTAGTTTTTGTGTTCTTTTTTCCAGAATTTGCTGTTTCTTTGTTTATAGTCTTACCATTTCTGTTTTCTTCCATAGTCAGTCTTGTTCCTGGTTTTTTTGGAAATAATATTTAGGCAGCTTGTTTAGAATGTTTGACCAACCTTCTGAAACCACATAATTTTTTACCTGTTAGTTCATAAACTTATAAGAAGAGATGTTTTCTAAACTTAGTAAATAGTCATATTACGAAGAAAAACATAACATCCGTCTTGAGTGATCAGTTTTCAAAGAACTTATTTATTTTATATGTATCAGACAAAATATAATAAATATATTGACATGGAACCTAAATTAAATGTAGTTTAATCTTTGATGGTTGAGAACTGATGTTCTTGTTTTTGAATGTCAGTTATTCTTGTAATGCACACATGTGAAGTACTGGATAATAAAGGGTTCACTGTAAATAGAGTCTTGCTGTAGTGGGGGCCTCCCAGTTTGTGGTGTCATCTACTAGAAGAGGCTGTTTAACACAAGAACCTTTTGGAATCTGGCTATCTTCCTCCTTTTAAAAACAAATTTCTGCTGTGAAGAACTATTATAATGAGTTTACAGTATAGCTAGATACAAGTATTTATGCTTTTTTAAGGATTATGGTAAATGAAAGCATCAGAAAGTATAGAAATGAAAATAACATGAAATTTTGGGCTTATTCTTGAATGTTTTCCTCCCTCTACAGTTTTTATTCTTTAGCTCATACTGAATGGTCAAAGATAATGACTAGGTGTTTACTATTTCATTGCATTGTCTCAACTCTGTTTTTCTTTAAGACCTAGGTTTCAGTGTAGAAAGAGCTGCATATATTTTTCAACACACAAAGGATCTAAGTTAAACTTACGCTTTAAAGAATCTATTATTGTGTATTGAAAAGATGCTTCTACAGAGATCTCACTTAAATCCATGTACTACTTGGAACTCTCTTTACTAATGTAAAATACTGATGAAATTTCAGTTTAATAGCACTATGCTGGGAGACAGAGGTATTATTTTTATAAGATATTCAGATTCTTACTAGTATATTCTAGTTTGAAGAACCTCATTTTTACTTCTGTGTTTCATTTTTCTAATCACCTAGCTTTCTCCCATGACAGGGTCCTGATTTCTGTTCACATGTACTACCTCTAAGCCTATATTCTCCACCCTGTTTTGCTAATAATCTTATTTCTACACCTGTAACCAGGAAATAGATTTAGTACCTGCCCAGCCCCAAGGCTTTAAAAAGTACTAATAGCAAGCCCTACTAGACTTAAGAATGTCTTAATTTGCTTTCATGTGTGCTTACATTGTCATAAATATTTAAACCACATTATCTTTACTATAAGATTGATACTTACATGGATAAGGACTTAATTCCCCTTCTTAGCAGTTTTTTTTGTTTTGTATGAAACCTGTAAACTGATCAGTGGAGCGCTTTTTTCAGTGGTCCATCTGATGGAACAAGCAAATTAGCTTGTTTCTTATTACTAACAGTAACTATCATTTATTTAGTATCTATTTTATATCAGCACATATAAATTCTATATACAGTATCTTCAATCCTAAGCAAATAAACTTCTAAAGTACTCCCCTTGTTTCACAGTTGAATGTTAGAAAGATTACATGATTGATCCAGGCTGTTTAGTCACAACTTATGGATGCAGCAACTGGTATTTTTTCCATTAGACTGTGCTGCCTATGGAAAGGCAAAATGATAGTAGTAGTCACTAAGATACCATTTCATCTAATTTGCATTGCTTACTACATTTTATTTGTATATATCTGATTGTTCCTATACAGATATATTTATATACCTTTAAGAAAAGCTGATATGACAAAATTTCAGCTTGATAAAAAAGTTCGAGAATGATTTAAAACTTTACAGTAACAAACTTTCAATTAAAAAATTGGTATGGTGTTGCAATTCAGTTGTGTTATTAAATTATGAAAGGATGAAAGATTATAAACATCTTTATCTTTGAAAACTATATCATGATATATAGCATTATTGATTATTACTACTTAACTATTGACTGAAAAAGCAACATAAATGATAGAGGACAGAGTGTTTACTGTTGAGTTAAAGAAATGAAGTTGAGAAGGTTTAAATATATAAACTCAGATTAGGTGTATGAAGGGATCTTTATTTTAATGTAAGCATATTATGAGATTCACCTAGATTTATGCTAGGCAGATTTATCAAGACAACTTATATTTGTTTCCTTCCCTAGTGGTATCTTCCTATTCTCAGAAGCCAAAGATAATTCCACAATAATGCATTGAAAGTTGCAGGAGGTAACCACATACTGTGTTGTAAATGTATAGTTAAAATAATCATGATGCCTCGCATATACTGAATAATTAATAAATAGATAATATTGCTACTATGCTTCTCATACATTGTATCATTTAATTTGTATAACAACCCTATGAATACTGTTACTTTCCTTATATTATGGATGAAGGAGCTTAACCTTTGGAAAGCTACATAACTTGGTTAGGTTCACATAGCTGTAGAAGAACAAGGTTGCAAACCTAGGTCTGACTCCAGAGCTCATGCTCTTAACCACTTCATAATAGTACTTCTACTTTGTGTGAAATACTTACATTCCTTTCAAAACTTTAAAGATCTCATTCATATCAGATATAGTTTAAAGGCAATTTAATGATCAGTCTTTAATGTACATCACTAGATTAGTGGTGATCTGCATAAAATTAAGAAGTCTTGGTAGAACTTCATTCAGTGTATCATTTAGTTCTTTCTCTGTATAGGTAGAACTCCACTTAAATGCTCCATATCAGTTATCCTTTTCTTTGAGATCTTCCTCAACGTTTCTAGGTTTTAAAAATTCATATTGTTAGAAAATTGTGCAACTTAAATTTCTTTGCCTAGAAATGGAAAACAGTCATCTTTCATTTAAGCTATACATCATTTTAAAGAACAGTTACCAAGTAAAAGTTCAGCCAGTCTAATTTAGTCCAGAAAGTGTTTAATTATCCAAATTTTCAAACTTTGAAGGTAAAGTAAGATATGATGACATAGCCTCAAAAGATCATGGAGTCTGGCAAAAGGTTTTGCTAAGCAATTATATGGGCAAAAACAGTGAGACTTCTCAAATGTTTTTCAAGAGATTACTTATTTAAATTTTTCTTAACTTGGCATTGTGAAGAGAAAATGGAAGATATGTGTCTTCAGCATTTAAATATCATTTGGAAAATGTTTTCAGAATTTAGTTATTACATATCTGGATATCAGAAGCCCAAAATAAGATATAACCTTAAAAAATAATGGAGATAACTTCCCTAAGTTAAAAAAAATTAAACCAGTAAATATCAATAATGCAAAGGAAAAAATGCTTTAAGAAATAGATGTTATATTGTATTGGTTAAATTGTTTTTCTCTGGATTTAGGTTGTAATTTTAAAGGCTGCTTTTATTTCTTTGGCTTTTGGATTGCTGCTTACATGCCCTCATCCTATCTGAAGTAACATATATTGTCCTTCAATACATAAATGCAGTTGGGGAGCTCCTTTTTAAAAAATTCTTCAATGAAATTTTTCTTAAAGCAGAAAATCTTTCTGTAATATGAATGATTACCAAAAATGGGGATTACTTAAGGTTAAATAGAATCCCTATTTACTTGTAGCTTCTTTTAGTTGGATCCTATTTTTTGTTTGTTTGTTTGTTTGCTTGGATTTCTCCTTCAGTTCTCCCTCAATAGGTATGACATGGCCCTTTTTATATATGACCTTGGAAAAGAACAGTGAAGCTAAGAGAACACTGGCCAAACTGTTGGTTCAGGGTCCTTCAGCATTTTAATATAGTAGGTCTCACAACTCTATAGTTTTAATCTCACAATTACTGATATGTTTCTTTAAATTATTGAACAAAATAAAAATTTTAAAGGGGGTTCAAACAGTTTTAAACTTCAGGTAAGAAAATGGCTGCTCTGTCTCAGCATCATTTCATAAGTTGAATGCTTATTGTGCTAGGTGCTGGAAATCAAAATAAGAAGCTTTCAGAGCAGAAACTATTAAACAGTGACCCACTTTTCTTTTCCCTGTCATTTGAACTTATACCTTTTTGTTTAATTCCCTAGAGAATATTAGTTAAATTTTATAGCTTTTTTTTGAGCACTATAATATTTTATAACAATACAAGGTAGCTCAAAATACTATATGCTAACAGACAAATGATACATAACCCGTGGGGTAGCAGTCAGCAGGGAGTGTGGCAGAGGCCACCTGTTTAGACTAAGAACCTTTCAGTGGACTGCTGGATGGACTGGATCTGCTGCTTCATTTGTGAGCCTTCTTTGATGGTGACAGAACAGACGATGACAGGCCTGGAGACCCCACAGGCTCGCCCCAGGGCCTGCTTGGAGCGCACAAACACGTAGGGCACATTCTTGTCCTCACACAGCAGTGGGAGGCGCAGGATGATCTCCAGGGGCTCGGTGTCTGCAGCCATCACAATGAACTCAGAGATGCCTCTCTTGAGGGTTTTGGTGGCCTCATTGGCTCTTTTGTGAAGCTGCTTGTAGTTACATGACTGCTGAACGAGGTCCAATAGTTTCTTGGTGAGGTGGGCATCTGCAAGAGGGTAGGCTTTCAGATTTACATCAGCCTCAGTCATGGCTCCGGTTCCATGGTATCGTCACTCCTCAAGGAGCACAGGCGATGTCAGAGCTGGAGCCAGTTTTACGGTTTTAAATAATGTTATCCTAAGTCCAATTTTACACTTAAAAAGTAAGAGCAAGACAAGTAAGAAACCTGCTCTTCCTTCTGCCTTTACTCTTTATTACAAATTAGTGCTTCTCTCCTAGTCCCCCTAGTCCTAGAGACAAATAAGATTTCTACTTGAGTCATATAATGTAATACTAAATCTGTTAGAAATGTAAGGGAAGCCCCACATTTAGGAATGCCAACTTTGTGAGTTGTGGTTGGAGTAGAATTTTTCTTCTGACAGAAAGGTAATCACTTCTTGGTAGTTAAAAATTGTTGATAGAATTATAGGTAATGGGGCAGGGAGAGAATATATTTTTATTTTCTTGCTCTTTGTTTTTACTGAGGTTTTTTGAGGACTATCATTAAATAGATGCACTACCCTATTTCTCGGTATTACCACGTAGTTATTTGGGGACCCTCTTATTTTTTTAAATATTGGAGTTATTCAGATATTACTAATTGAATTAATATCTATAAACCCAAAGTTGATCTGTTGGGTAGTTGAGAACCTTAAGTGTAGTTGTCATTCTGCTGTCTTAACCAATTGGGTTTTTTTGTTTGTTTTTTAAATCTTTCTTTTCTGATGGCAAAGGGGAATATAGAAAACCTTTCTTGAGGGCACTGTGAAAATTACCTGAGAAAGTATTTTCTAATGTAATGGATATGTATTATTTGAGAATTTCTATAGTTCATTTAGTTTATTTTAGAGCCATAACTTGCTACTATTAGAGGAAAGATCAGATATGAAAATGAACGGCATACCATAAGCAAAAAGAATAAGTACTCATTAGTATTCTTTCTAATAAGTATCTTGTTTGGGCCTGGATTGCAAGCAGATGATATCCTCCTTTATGCATATTGTGCTAAAAGTAAATTGCTGAATATTGCTTGCTGGTATGTTTCCTGTCTTTCTTCTTTTCCCTGCCTTCTTTGTCTTTGCAAGTTCAATTCATGTTGAACATCATTATTTCTGTTCCCTCTAAGATACAAAATACAAAATGAAACAAAATTTCAGAAAATCTTAAAATCAGCATAAGTACTGTTTATGTATTAAAATTACTTATATGACCTTTGAGAGAAATTTTAAGTGACAGTTGGAGAAAGCTCTCATCTTGTCCTTGATACACTTCAGAAAGTACAACTGCTCTTTATAGAAATAATTAAGAAGGATATACATTTATAAAGAAATCTAAATATTATTGGATGGAATCTTGGTATGTATAGTAAGGTTTTATTTATGAATTAGAAAATCTTTTGCTACCATAGGAATTCATTTGGTTAACTGAGTGATATACCTCAGTCAGGGTTAGAATATCTTAGTTTTTCAGGTCCTTTCTGGCCTACTCCAAACATTGGTGAAACCTTTACTGGAAGAAAATCTTCAGATTTCCAAATTGCCAACATAAAGAAAATTCTCTCTTCTTCAGGCAGCCTTATGTTAGGATTTATAAAGTTTTTTGGTGTGTTTTTAAATGGCCTCACATTTTTCCCTTTTTCTTTTTGATAGGAATCTTTTAGTCCTGCTATACAGCTGCACCTTGTACATCAAGCTCCGTGTAATGTTCCTCCTTACCTCTCAAAGAATGAATCAAATCTTGGGGACCTCTTACTGGGCTTTCTTAAATATTATGCTACAGAATTTGAGTAAGTGAAATTGCAAATTGTGTTTATTCATTTGTAAATAAGTGAATGCTACAAATTGGGTCATAAACTGTATTTATCAATTTCAATGTTGTAAACTACTCCAAAAATGTGTAGTTTATAAAATTTAATATCTAATGATTATTAGAAACTAAATAGCTTTCCTGTTTCTAGCTAATAAAAAAATTATAGTTCAATAAGCCCAGTTTTAGTTGATTTCAGTAGTGATCCCATTTTATATTTAGCCACCTCTTTCCACTGTAGAGCCTGAATAAATGTTTGTGTTGGTCCTGTGTAGGTGCTGTATAGTATGGAACATCTGTTTTCCAGGAACTTAAAATTTATAATAAAAAACACAGCTAAAACAAACTTGGAAAAAGTTCTACTTAATACTTGATATCTGAATAAATAGTTGTGTTTGTATGCTATACAAATCAAGGACTACTCCTTTTCCTTTTTTTTTTTTTTTTTTGGTGAGGGTGATACATAAACATGAAACAGTAAAGTGTATAGTCAGGCTGGCCATAACTGAAAGTTCTTACAGGAGTTTTTAGTCCAGATAGAGTGGGATTAGGGGTTTTTTGCAGCTCTTCTGATCGATTTGGAAAAGCTTGAAGGAGAGAATGAATGAGAGAACTTAGAAGTTGTACAGTTAGAGGAGGAGGGTACAGTGACCATGGGGTGCCAATTTGAAGAGGTTTGGAGAGGGGAACAATAATAGTAAAGCCTAATAAATTGCTATTACTTGGTGGGAAGAACTGTTCTAAGCAGATTATATGTATTATCTCATTAGTTTACATAATAGCCAAATGAGCTGGTATTTTATGCCCATTTTACCAGTGAGTCATATAGAGAGGTGAGGAAACTGGCCCGAAGGTCACACAGGTAGTAAGGGGAATACTTCTGACTGCAAAATTCACTCTCTTAACTATGATACTTTACTGAAATGTTGATATTATCTGCTATCATACAGGAGTTCTAAAGAAACTTGACTCTTATAAGATGATTTGAAACATAGGACCTGAAGGAAGAAGTGTTCTTTACATTTCTCCAAGTAAAGTTGTTATCAGACTGCCTGCTTTGTTTATGGTTGTGTCTCCATTACCTAGCCCAATGCCAGGTAGTGAAAAATACTTGCTATAGGTAAATAATTTTGAAGCAGAAAGTAAGATTATGGATATGAGTCAGAGATCCTCAAGGTGACTTAGAAATTACTGAACTAGGTTAACAAAAGGAGTAAGAAAAGTGCTGAAGAAAAGTAGTTCAAGAAGAATGAAGTTACAATAATCCAGGTTAAAAATGACCAGGACCTGAATGTAAGTCTAGGCAACAAAGATAAAAAGGAAGGAGCTTTCATTTATATAAAGATGAGGAAAGATTTAAGACTGTATGAGACATGGGACATAAGAGAATAAAAAAGGTTATTCTAGAGTTAAGATTTTTTAAGATGTTGCAATGATAATAGCTAATGTTTCGTGAATGTTTACCTAATGTCCTGCAGTATGCCGAGTGAATCCCATGTGTTATCTCATTTAATCCTCACAAAAACCCCCTTTCAAACTTCGGGAATTTGTGAACTTGAAACTTGCCCATAACAATACAGTTAGATAGGCAGAGAACTGGGATTTTAATTCAGGTGACTCTAAAACCACATTCTTAGTTGTTAGACTGTATTGGCATCATCTGTTGTGTCATGTAAATTAGATATTGGGGGAAGTTCATAGAAGAAAGATATTTTTCTGCAATGTAGAGTTTAGGATTAGAGCATCTAGAGAAATACTTCGAAAATCATCTGCTTTGTTGGACTGAAACAAAATGGTAGATGTGCAGGTTTGTATGTTAGTTTAGTATTAACAGAAACTAGCTTGCTGTGCCAAATGAATCTGGCTAAGAGGTTTTGAACTTTTGGACGCACTTGTTATGATGCTACATGATTTAGGTGACATCTTCACCTACTGTTTCATCATATAGTGCATTGTTGTTTCATACCAGATATTTTCAGAAATTTGACTGTATGGAGCATAGCCAAGAGTGTAGTCATGGTAATGAACTAGGTGCTGTGCAGAAGAATTCTGGCAGCCATTAGAAGCATTTGTAAGGATGTTTTCTGAACTTTGAGATACTATTAAAAAATTCCCTTTACTTGAAGACAAAGAATGCAGTGCCTGTGAAAGGATGCTTGAGTACCTGGTATGAATGGTGCAGAAATTTTATATGGCCATTTAAAAATTACCATTAAAAAGGTTTTCTTACCTACTTCACTCGCAGCTTTCTCCTTAAACCTGGCTGCTGAAAATTCTTAAAATGAAGCCAGGTTTCTAGAAATGTACCTAGGAAGGAGGAACTGACAAAATAGGGAAAAAAAAGGATCAGGTGGTTCAGGAGTCTAGAAAAACATGCAGTCAGAATTTAATCACTTAGTAATTTAGCAAGAAAACAAAAAAGAAAAGAAAATTTTAAATTCTAAATATCTTACAAACTCATAGATACTGGAGATTCTAGGAACCTTAAAAGGTATCTGTTTTATAATTCTCTTTATTTTCTGGATGCCCAATCACATGTCATTACTGCTGGTTTATCTGTTGAATTAAAAATACATACCTATATACTTAAATACATACATTTTTTGAAAAAGGAAATACAAAGGACAATTTTTCTATCTCCTTTCTTACTATTTTTTCCTCATTTTATTTCATCAATAAATCATTGGGTGCCTACTCTATACCAAGCTATTTTCTATGCACTGGGGATATAGCAGTTAACAAAACTGTCTTTATGGAGCTTATCTTGTAGTATGGAGAGAGAGACAGTAAACAAATAAAATGTACAGTATGTTAGATGGTGGTAAATAGAGAAAAATAAAGCAAAAGCAAGAAATGATATTCTGGTGTGTGTAGTTGTTGCAATTTTAATACCTGTATTGCCGTTTAATACCTAGCATGGTAAGACAGTCTCACCAAAAAGGTGACCTTTGAAATAAAGACCCAACGGAGAGGAAGGTGTGAGTTATGTGTCTATATGGGAGAAGAGCTTTCCAAACAGAAGGAAAAACAACTGCAAAGACCCTGAGGTGGAGGTTTGCCTAACATGTTCAAGGAACAGCAAAGAGGCCAGTGTGACTGGAAGAGAGTGTAGAAGTCAATGATGTCTGAGGGTTAAGGAAGTCCATATCATGTAGGGTCTTGTGGTTAATTTTGATGACTTTGGCTTTTCCTCTGGGTAAAACGGGAAACCACTGGAGGGATTTCAGTAGAGAAATTGCGTGATCTGATTTAGTTTATAACATGCTCATCCTGGTTGGTGGATAAGAATAGA